ACATAATAAAAAATGTAATTTTTCATTTGTATAGTTACATATATTTAAAAATTTTTAAATTTGGTGTATATTATTTGCACAAATAAACCATTAAATTCAATAATTAATTTGACAAAATACTAAGTAATGAAGAATTATTGACTAGTATAAAATATGATAGGTATATTAATATAAAGTTGATCCTAAGTTCAAATAAATTAAATAAGTTAAACATCAAAAAATAAATTAATTAATTAAATATGTTATGAATGTAGGAGAATATTTTAAGAAAGAACTTGAGCTTCCGGTTTTGACAACTTCAAAAGTATTTTAGTTGAGAGGACTTGATATTCCAATTCAATTATACTTTTTAAATTAGTTAGCTACTTATTTTTAATATTGAAACTTTTTTTCTAGTCTTTTATTTATTTGTGGTGAATTAATTATGTAATTCTTACTACTAGAAAATTTTAATATTCCTTTTAGCGGTCAATTAATTGTGTAGTTATTATTACTAGAAAATTTTGGTATTTCTTTTAGTCACAAACTTTATGATGAATGATACTTTGAATGGAAAATTAAGAAATAAAGATAAGAGAATGCTAAAAAGTCTTTATACTAGAAGACAAAAATTTAATATTCCTTTTAGTGGTCAATTAATTGCGTAGTTGTTACTGATAGAAAATTTTGATATTTCTTGTAGTCATAGACTTTATGATGGATGATACTTTGAATGGAAAATTAAGAAATAAAGATAAGAGAATGCTAAAAAGTCTTCATATTAGAAGACAAAAGTCTTCTTAGTGGAAGAAATTAAAGAGATTGTGATAGATTAACCCATTTTAGAGTGTGTTTGGTAAAAAAATGTGCATGTGCTTGATAAGGAATGGTATAAAAAGTAAATTAATGCAGAAGCAATACTATTAAGACAGTTAAAAAGTATCATGCTTTTGGGGTCAGCAGAAATCCATGAAAACTGAAAATTAATGAAAATTGATATTATAAGAGAAAAAAAATCTGAATGTTATTTTCTAAATTAATATAAAGGATTTGCCTAGTGTTCATATATATGATTGTCTAGCGAAACTTAATAAATTTATTGTTGAATGTTATTTTCTTATTGGATTGAGTGGCCATTGGATTCAAAGGAAAAGTTTTCGTGAGGAGAGGGACAAAGACAATGTCTCATTTTTTTAAAATAAAAAATGAAAGTGACTGCTTTAATTTCTTTTAGAGTGATGAAAGGGGCGATAAACATTTTCCTAGAAACACATGCCTCTTTGTATGAGAACTCTGGTTTTTTTTTTTTTATACACCATAGGATTAACTGTGTGTACACTATAGGATTAATTGTGTAACAATATAAAAATTGTATTTATTAATTAGAATGCAAACAATTTTACATGAAAGATGAGATTACTCTTTGGAATTATCCCTTTTCAATTTCTTCTATGTTTCTCATACGAACTCAACAACCTTAAAAAAATTTTTAACTCTCAATAAAACATTAAGCCTAATATTTAATTTTTTTATAAAATAAATAACAATTAAGTGCGACATTAAAGTAATTGAATATGAACTGATTAATAGGTCAAAGCCTTAGTGTTGGTAACCATGGCTTTCCCTTTGGGTAAAAGGAGCATCAACTCAACACAAGCTAGTTGCTATTAAATTGATGGGCAAATTAAATTACTTATTAATGCCCCTGGAGGATATTCTACACTTGATTGATCCTCCTCCTCCTACTTTAAAATTTTCAAGTGTCACAAGAACTTAAGATTCCAATCCAAGTATAATTCTTTAAATTAGATAGTTACTTATTTTCAACTTTAAAATATTTTTAAATTTAGAAATTCTTGAATGTTATTTTCTATATATGAAGAAATTAGAGAGCTTTTGATTTGATTGATGAACTTGAATAATCAGTGGAGCATACAAAACTTCAAAAAAAAAAGTGCATTTGGCATCGTTGATCCAAAAATATAAGAAGTGGCATAAAAATATATTACGCAATGCAGAAGCTAAAAATAATTGTTATTTTTTTTAGAATTCTTTTAAAATTAGTTGTCATTTTTTATTATCTTTTTAATAAACAATTTTTTTATTCTAAACTTGATTGATCCTTCTACCCCAGTTTTAAAATTTTCAAAAGTGTCACAATAGCTTAATATTCCAATTCAACCATATTCTTTAAATTAGATGGCTACTTGTTTCCAACTTTGAAATTTCTTTTAGATTTA